GTTCTTGGTCAGAAAATGTGTTTTAAAGCTCAAAAACTTCTTCTTTCTCGATCGTTATCCGAGTACTTTGTAGTATTTTGATTTCCATTTGGTATTCTTAGAGACCGTGAGATTCTAAGAATACTGTACTAGATGCAGAATTTAATTCTCTGTCCAATCAAGTCATTTTCGATCCGTGTTCTTGGTCAAGAAATGTGTTTTAGAGCTCAAAAACTTCTTCTTTCTCGATCATTATCCGAGTACTTTGTAGTATTTTGATTTCCATTTGGTATTCTTAGAGACGGTGAGATTCTAAGAATACTGTACTAGATGCAGAATTTAATTCTCTGTGCAATCTATTCATTTTCGATCCGTGTTCTTGGTCAAGAAATGTGTTTAAAAGCTGAAAAACGTCTTTGCTGTCGATCACTATCCGAGTACTTTGAAGTATTTTGAATCCCACTCGATGTCTCTAGGGACTGCGAGACGCTGAGAATAGTGTACCAGATGCAGAATTTAATTCTCTATCCAATCAAGTCATTTTCGATCCCTGTTCTTGGTCAGAAAATGTGTTTGAAAGATCAAAAACTTCTTCTTTTTCGATCATTATCCGAGTACTCTGTAGTATTTTGATTTCCATTTGGTATTCTTAGAGACGGTGAGATTCTAAGAATACTGTACTAGATGCAGAATTTAATGCTCTGTCCAATCAAGACATTTTGGATCCCTATTCTTGGTCAAGGAACGTGTTTTAAAGCTCAAGAACTTCTTCTTTCTCGATCATTATCGGACTTAAATTGAGGAGTGTCCTGGAGAACCTCAGGAAAAACAATGGAGACCACTTTTTTATAACACTCCAAAACAACAATCGAGAGAAGCTGGAATCGTGAAAAGTCATTAGTTAAACATGGAATATATGTATAGATCATATTGGTAATGTGACGTATACGTAACTAGTACCCTCCGCAAAAGAAAAAAAGAAAAGCGTGGTAGTCGAAGAGGATCTCAATCAACGAACAACTAGGTCACTTTTATTTTGGGATCCGCCCAGCAATTCCAGATGCTTTTGACCCGATGCGATCCGATCTTAGTTGCTCTTTGATCTTAATAATGCTTCACACCTTTTATTGATAAACAAAATTAGTTCTTACTTTGTAGCCAGTTTGTAAAGCAAAGGATTGAAAGTTGCCCTGGTTTTTTTCTGCCTGAACAGTTTTTACTATTACATCTAACGCTCGTTTTAATAATTCCCGATTAACATTAACCAATTCTGTTTCATCTTGCTTTTCGATGTAAGCATAAAAATAAACGTGTGTTATTTCATGACCATTAACTTTCCTCAACTGATCACTAAGTGTATCTACGTCAGTTTCTAGCAGATCAGCGGATAGAGAATGTAATGGATTGTCGTTGTGAAAATCCGTTCCTTGTAATGGACGACGTGAAAGGGCTATGATCGATTTCCATTCACTAACTGGTTCTTTTAATAATGCTTCAATCATAGCTGTACCAGATACACCATTGGCACCAAAAATGCATGCAGTTTTACCATTAGTTTCCATTATTATGTGGTGTGATTAAAATAAAGCACACACGACAGACTACAACTGCTTCAATACTTACCAGAGAGATATCGTCTATCTAAAATATAATCAATCATCACAAAAGACTTAAAATGCTTAATCTCATTCATTATGCGTTTGCATTACAAACTTACGTTGCCGGTAACTATTTTGGCAGTTACTACAATGCCAGCCCGAAACTTTCATCACCCAAACAAATGTGTAAGGATAGCAATTATGAAATGTTAATATAATCTCTAAACACGTTAGATAGGATTTTATGGTCTTTATCTCGTTCTATCGTCCTTATATCAGTCATCCAGCGAATTCACGGATAAATTTTGACGTCACTTAACGTTCATCATCGATTCCACTCGACTCACTTAGTTTGGGGCTGGCTTAAAGGCCTTTTTCGCTTCTATGGATGACTAACAGCACATTCTCAAAATATAGACAAAAGCGTGCAGGAACTTATGGTTACTTATGAGCCAGCAGAAATGCATACTTTAAGGTAGAGTAGGAGACAATTTCCTTCACTCTAAAAACACATATAAAATATATTTTATCTCCGCATTGACAGATTACGTCACTATTATTTTGCTATCACGCATAGCTGCCCTCACCTGAATGTTGCTTTAATACACGAAAGAAAAAGAAAGATACTTTACATTTTATGATAAACATCTGAATAAAACAACATCACATGGATAGTGTTTGAGGGCAACGCCTTACTTATCACAAACTTGATTATAATTGCAGCTGTTTTAAACTTCATTTTATTTAGTTGATATTTCAACCTTTAACCGGTCATTTTCAAAGCGTTACAAAACTAAGTGTACAAGAATTGAAAAATAAAACTTCTTTTCTTTTTTCCCCACGTGATAACGCAGAACGAAAAAGAGAAATGAAAACATAACCTAGATCATTCTTTTTTTATATGCTTTTAGTTGTTTTAAAAGATAGATTTAAGAAAAATGAAATGAAAACGCAATTTGAAGAAGAGAGAAAGAGCTACCACAAAGAGAGAGAGAATTATTTTTCCTCTGAAGAACAAATGGCGCCGAACAACTGAATATACGAAACATTTCCAAATCCAAAATATATTTTTCTTTCACTTGTAGCGCTTATGGCATCGAATCTGGACCTTTATTTGAGAGAAAAATGTGCAATGATCAATCTCCGGAAAATATCGTACCTTTTCCAGAACTTTTCTAGCTTTCATAGTTCTCTAGATCACGAGGTGCACATTTTGCCCAAAAGGGGATGAAAGAAAGGAAGAAGAAAATAAAAAACAAAATTCCCAGCAAAAACATAATGTCTGTCGACATAAGAATGAAAATGAAATTTCATGAAAAACAAATTCACTTAGTAGATTAAAACATTGAAATTAGAACAGAGAAAGAAACTATAGTAATAAAACTAATTCAAAACATGTTTCGTTTTATTAAAAACTCTTCAGATAAAATAATATAAATGATGATTTTTAATTATTTAATTTCGGTTTTAGTAAGCGCCGAAAATAGAGCTCTTTGTGGCGTTTTTCGTTGGTGTCACAATCCAGGGGCATTTTGTATAGAGGATATATAGAATAAGCCCCTCTTAAACAATTATGAATGTGGATGTTTGTCCTGAATATTGTTTATTGAGAATGTCTATTGTGCAGCCTACGTACGTTTGCTCTTAGATGTAAAGGAGTGTGTCTCACCTATGCAGAATTCTTTGCATCTACAGCTTATGAGGCAATACATGAGATTTTGTACCTTGCAATTCATATGCTGATTAGGAAATATTATTTGACGATTTTTAGGGTGAGTGTCTCTGCTTTGATGAGAGTGTGACACGTTTTGCAATTTGGTTGGTGGCAACGTGAAGTTGTTGGACAATGATCAGGATGTTGTGGTGTGGATGTAAGAGATCTGCGTAAATTTGGTAGCTACCTCTAAGATGCATGTATGGTGGTGTTGTATAACAATCTGGATGTAGAAAAGACAGCTGGAACTATAACGCGCATAACAGGTAGTAAATTCGGATTATTGGGGTTATATTTCGTTGTAAAATATATTTATTTGCACTTGTGGTGTTGTCTTGTCGCACAAGAGAAATAGTGCTTGATTGTTTTGCTTTATGTATCGCATCTTGAATCAATCGTGTAGGATAATCTTTTTCTTGCAACCATAATGCTAATTGTCTGATATGATACTCTCGTCGTGTTGAATCTGATACAATTAGTTGAATTCCTTCGTATAGTATGTACGGACTATTGTGTTTCATATGTGGCGGATGTGAAGACCTGAAATGTATAGGGCGCACCAAATTCAAAGTTCAAACACTATTTTATTTTTTACTATATTATACATGGCCCGTCATGTGACGTGTTTATCGATACATACGAAGACACCATTGATCAAGTAAGACGTTTCTTCCTAACTCATCATATTATCTAATTCCAACGATTCCTTTAGATACCGAATGAAGTCTCTTTGAAGGAATATAATGATGTATGTGATACAATTGAAGATTCAGTTATTGCGAACGGATGAGACTGTGCAATAGCAGATTTTTGACGAACATTTTATGGTATAAACAAACGAAGCATTTTTCTACATTACCAAATTTTGATGTAACAAAACAATCTCTGTCACACATCATCTATTTACCATGGTCCAATTTTGTAAAATCATTAACGATTTTGAGTATAATACTACTGAACAAACATCCAAACCCCAGTTAGATATGACAAAAGAGGGTCTGGTCCAGAGTTGTAACCGGTCTGGAAATACTAGACCGGTCCGGTCCGGCCGGTTTAAATTTTAGACCGGTCCGGTCCGGCTAGTCACCGGCCGGTCTAAAAGTATTTCCAGACCTGTAAAAACCGGCGAGTTCATCAAGTTTTTTCAAGTAATAACATTAATATTAGGGACAAAATTTTGTTCTGAATACTTACAGATTTTTACGCCTGTCTTTTCTGTAATGCTTATACTAGAATCCTAATACGAAAAAACCAACCAATATTTTCAAGATTGAGTTTCTTTTTTATTGAGTTCAAAAAATTTACATTTCAAATAAAATTGTCACTCTCTCTTTCCTTTAGAAAAACTACTAAGCACCCACACATAGTATCTTTCTGATGAAAAATGAACGAATATGCACAACTTCGTGAAACCGGTAAAAACCGGCCGGTCCAACTCACTCAACCGATCCGGTACGGCCGGACCGGACCGGTTACAACTCTGGTCTGGTCTCTCAGACGGACGGAAGTAATCCAAGAAAGTTTCTGCGCTTGTGAATGAGTGTTTTTTGTTCAGGATTTCCATTAGACGCCATGCAAGTGTATAATAGTTTTTCGTATATTTTCGAAAAACTGTTACATGGTGCAACATTAGAAGCTCGCGATGCTATCCTTCTCCTCGTCTATATGGTTAGCTTCGTATACGCGTTCAAAGTAGATAAAACGACAACAAATCAATTAGAACACTGCATCAAACAGCACAATTGTTTATTTAAAAGAATATATGGTGAGAATAGCATAAAACCAAAATTTCATTTCATGCTCCATTTACCGGAGCAAATGCACCGTTTTGGGCCGTTGAAGTATACACAGTGCTTGGCATCGGAGCGTATGCATCGATTCTTCAAAGGTAAGAGATAAATATTCTCTTATCGCAGTAATTATTATGTGCTTTCTCCTTGTTCTAGGAAACAAGCATCGAAACTTTAAAAATCTGTCAATGACCTGTGCTAAATAACATCAGGTATGGGAAAGTGCAAACGACCACAACAAGGACGACTTGCTATCTAGCACTCCTTTTTGGACATGCTACCGTTTTAAATGATGTGAGGCCCGATTCCAGGTGGCTTATTATCTAATGCTGTTAAATTCGCCTTTCCATTACCTCATCCTCACACGGCTCAGGTAGTCAAAATAAATCGTATATCTTATACAATTGGTACCATTCTTTACGCCACAAGCGTTCATTTATTGGACAAAACTCCGAATTTTCTTCAAATAACAAATATCTTCGTGCTTAACCAATGTCCGACTTTCATCATTCGATTTTTGAAGACGAACAATTTCGATAAGCTAACACGAGCCTTCAAAGTTGATATTACACGAGGTTATGGAGTCATAGACCCAGAAGATTTAAAGTATGTTAGGACACTGGAAATGATGGTGTTTTTGATGTATGATGTTTTTAATCATCCAAGGAAAAAGCCTGCTGGGGGCAGGAGCTTGTTTTCTCAGATGTGCCAGGAAACTTCTGCGTGGTCCTTTTTTAATCATTCTTATAGTAATTACGTCCATATTGTGACCTGTTCTCATTCCACCTACCTCTACTCCAATTACCACACCCAAAACAATACGTAAACTCCACCATGGAGGTCGCAAACCAGCGATTTCTGTGCCGGTCGCAAGTCCGGAAAAAGGAGGAGCGTTGGACGGAAGGGGTGCAGATACCGCCGCCTGGAAAAAGAAAAAGACGACAGAAACCAACCATGAGCGATCATAGTACAAAACCATACCGGCTCGGACGTCGCCCGGGTAAACAAGGTCCGCGTCCTCTGCCGGGTAACCAGGGTCGAGTCGAAAAATTGGATACTGGAAAAACTTCAAACACAAACTGTTCGACAAACAATACACACAAACTAAAACTAACCAAAAGCACTCTGACAGTTGGAACATGGAACGTTCAGACATTATGGGCAACTGGAAAACTAGAACTGCTTAGAAACGAAATGAA